AATGCCAACCTGCTTCCAGCCTCCAGAGCGCCCAGCCTCCCTGAGCCACTGGGCGACGACAGTTCACAGGAGCCAGAACAAGGTAGGGCTGGTGTCACCCAGCGTCGCCCCCTGCCAGGGCTGTGCCCAAGGCTCTGCCATGCCCCCAGGGGCAAAGGCAGGGATCGGATGGTTGTGGGAAGAGTTAGATCTACCCAGATTTACCAGGTGACCCCAGAGCCGAGGGAAAATTAGCGGATTGGGAGGTGGGGAGCCCAGGGCTGGGCTAGCAGGGGGCTGTGCGTTGGGATTGAGGGGCACCGGTAGGGTTGGGGGTGTGGGGAGCCCAGGGCTGGGCTAGTAGGGGGTGGTGGATCAGGGTTGAGGGGCACCAGCAGAGCTAGGGAGGCAGGGAAGCTGACCCAGAACCCCCCACTTGCAGCTGACTGCCCCAATAAGCCCCCTGCCCCCCACTGCAGCCAGGCGGGGGAGGGCTGCAGAGCTGGGGCCAGAGGCGGGGGAGAACTCACCCCTTGGACGCCAGGCGGGAAGACATACTGGATGATGATGGTGCCGTATTTCTCGTAGCCGGGGAGCAGCAGGCCCGAGTCCTTGGACACCAGCATGCGCCCGTTCTCGGGCTGGTTGCCCACCAGCTGCCCGTAGAAGCGCCCGCACATGGGGCAGGCCCGCTTGACCTGCAGCGCCCGCGTGATGCAGTCCTCGCAGAAGGAGTGCCGGCACTTCTCCAGCGTCTTTACGTTCTGGATCTCGCCCAGGCAGATGGGGCACTGGCTCTCCTGCTCCTCCTCCCGCGAGCCGCCCGCCCGCCCCCCCCCACGCCCCCCACCTCCTCCTGTGCCCCCCGCCCTGGCCCCGGTGGTCTGCTGACCCCGGGAGACCATGCCGGCCCCGTGCGGGCGCAGCTCGCCCCCGGGTTTGTCCAGCAGGGCCATGCACCCCACCAGCTCGCTCTGCCGCTGCGCCTTCTTCAGCTCCTTCTCCGTCTCCTTGAGCAGGGCCTTGAGGGCTTTGCGGGCCAGGTAGAGGCCGTTGCCGGCCCCGGGGGCCGGCGTGGAGAGCTGCAGCACGTAGATCTCGGAGGTCTCCCCGTCGATCAGAATGCTTAGCTTGGTCTCCTCCTTCAGTTTGACCAGCTTGGAGGGGGCCTCTTTGGTCAGGAAGTCCCAGACGGGCTTAGAGACCGTGAGCTTATTTTTAGTGGCGCCCCCGCATGCCGCCATCCTGGATAAAACAAATGACACTGAAGAGAAAAGAACAGTCATCAAAGCCGCCGGCATCGCCTCCCGGGTGGGCTAGAGACAGACAGACAGACAGACAGACACGGACACCGCCCCACCCCCTTCCACAGCCAGCCAACGGCCCCAGCCCCAGCCGGGATTTGAACCTTCGGCTCCAGGAAGCATCGGGAGGGGCGGATCCCCTCCGGGACCCGGCCGTCCCCTCAGCCCCGGTGTTCTGCAGGGGAGGGCAGCCTGGGCAACCGTCATTGTCCCCTCTGGCCTTTAAATCTCTACCCTCAGGTTCCACGCTCCTGGGGGTGTCTCTCCTGGGGTCTATTCCCCGATCGCTGTGTGAGTTGGGGTGAGTTAGCTCCCGTCCATCTCAGTGGTGGCAGGTGGGTTGTACCCCATGGCCTGCCCCACAGCGAACAACTTCCCCCCCCCTCCAAGTTCAAATGAAACACCCCCCACACACACACGGCTGATAAGTCGCCCATCACAAACATGACAGTCACGAGACAATCATTTAATAAATATCATTGCAATTAAAATAAAACACAGGTGTGGGGTGGGGGAGAAATGCTTGTTTGGGGGCTTAACAAATGGGGGGGGTTAACAAACAGGGGGGCATGATTGCTGCGAAAACCCCGCTTTGTAAGGCCCAAGGCTGCGTTCCCCCCCACACACCTTGGGTTATGAAATAGCAGAGTAATGAATGGGAAGTCCTGGGGGAGGGATAAGGAGGCTGGGGGTGGGGTTGTCCATGGGAGAGGGAAGGGGG